TTGAGCTTGCTTGTTTTCTTGCAGACGTTTTATGACCCATCTTGGGAACATCATCAGTGCTAGGAGGGAGAGGTGTTTGCAGAGTCCAGGACAGGAAGAAGAGGAGGATTGTGGGTTCTTTGGTGCTCTCTCACGTTGTTGCGGATTTTTTGGAGACATTACCCAACTAGGGAACATCATCAGTTCTATAGAAGGGAATGGCGTTTGCAGGGAGGAGGAGGAGGAGGAGGAGGAGGAGGAAGACTGTGGGGTCCTTGGTGCTCCCTGAGCTTGATGGTTTTCTTGCAGATGTCTCATGACCCAACGAGGGAACATCATCAGTGCTAGAAGGAAGGGAGGTTATGGGGAGGGGGAGGAGGACTGTGGGGTCCTTGGTGGTCTCTGAGCTTGGTTGTTTCCGTGCAGACGTTTCATTACCGAACTAGTTAACAACATCAGTGCTCAAGGGAGTGGAGTTTGGGGGGAGGAGTAGGAGGGCTATGGCAGGGCCATCTTAACAGTATTATGGGTCCCGGGCAAAGCAGTGTACTGGGGCCCCTACGACAACTACTCACAGGAATGAAAATGTAAATGGTCGATAAAACTCAAACAAATAAATATGTAAGAAATATGTTGCTGTATTTATATGATACAAGGTGCATTGAAGACTTAACATACACAGATTAGTATGGGGCCTCTATGCTCGTGGGGCCTATAGGCAAATGCCCACCAGGCCTATCCCTTAAGACCGCCCTGGATCACGGGGGTGCTTGGTCCTTTCTGAGCTTGGTGGCTTCCTTGCAGATGTTTCATGACCCAACTAGGGAACATCATCAGTACTAGAAGGGAGTGGTGCAGCAGGAGGAGGAGGAGGAGGACTGTGGGTTCCTTGGTGCCTCTCTGAGCTTGGTGGTTTTCTTGCAATGTTTCATTACTTTACAAGGCGGGGAGGAGGAGGAGGACTGTAAGGTCCTTGGTACTTTCTGAGCTTGGTAGTTTTTTTTTCAGGGAGGAGGAGGAGGAGGAGGAGGAAGAGAGAACTGTAGTTGCTCCTGTGAGCTTGGTTGCTTTCATAAGGGCTAGGAGGGAGTAGCATTTGCAGAGTGCAGGACAGGTGGAGGAGGACTTTGGGGTCCTTGGTGGTCTCTGAGCTTAGCGGTTTTTCTCGTAGACGTCTCACGACCCAACTAGGGAACCTCATCAGGGCTACTACCGAAACGGAAAAAAAAAACCTGCTTCCCAGGGCTGGAGAGAGGACGGTTCCCTCCACCCAGCGAAAGCCCAGTCTTGGGGGTGGGTGGGAGGCTGGCGATGAAGGTCAGCTGCCCCCTCAACCCGCCCCCACCCCGCTGCAAATCCCGGTGCAAGGCAACGCCCTCCCCCGCCCCCCCCCTTCCCTTTGCAAGCCGCCCGTCCAGTCCGGGGCGCTCGAGGCGGCGCCCCGCCAACTCCCGGCCACGCGCCAGCCTCGCAAACAGTTGCTCTCTTTCCCGCCCTCTCATTGGCTGCGCCTCCCGCCCTTGACCACGCCCCCGCCTGCCCGCCTCGGTCCCTCGGCGCTCGGCCTTTCAAGCCCCCGCCTTTCTCTCTCTCTCTCTCGCCCCCCCACCCCGACTCCTTCCCGCGCGGCCAATCAAAGGCCGCGAGGACGCGGGTGGGCGGGGCGGGGCGCCGGCCTCTTTTGTTGCAGCGGCCAATGGGAAGCAAGGGGCGGGGCGGCGCTCTCCCTGCGGAGCCCTCCTGGCCCCCCCCCTCCCCACCGGCTGTCCGGAGTCCCGCGCCAGGCCGGCGGGTGGAGCGGGAGGCTCGGGGGCGGCGGCGGAGACGGTTCTTCTCCCGGCGGGCGAGGCTTATTTTTTTTTCCTCCCCGCCCTCCGCTGCAGCGAGGTGAGTCGAACCTCCGCTTGTCTTCCTCCCTCCCCCCGCGGACCCATAAACGGTGGACTACAAGTCCCATCCCTCCCAGCCGCCCCAGGTTGTTTTTTTTTCTTTTCGGGGGGTGGACAGCGGGGATCGGGACCCCCGGTTTCTCCTTGTTGAAGAACCCAGGTGTCTGTGCGTGTGTGCGAGGCGGGTGTCTCTCTTCCCCTTCCTCCCCTTCTTGGTCCCGGGATCACCGCGTGGTGCGCCGTCCTTTCCCTTCCCCAATACGGTTGGCTTTCCCGCAGGGTCGCCCCGGCCCGGATTGAGGAAGAGGTGTTTTTTGGGGACGGACGGACGGACATGGCCCGGCTCCCCGCTTCGCGCGGCCGCTGCTGCCCCAGCCGTCTGCAAAGCCTCCCGGCGCTCCTTTTGCAACCGGGCGCCCGCGGGCCCTCTCTTAGCCTTTGGGGTTTCTGCCTTGGGGGGGGTGGCGGCGGGGGGATGAGCTGCGTTAATGGAGGGGGGGGGCTGGGAAAAAAAAACCCTTTTTCCTGCCCTCCCCGCTTGCTGCTCACTTGCAACCTGCAATCGCAGCCTCCCCCAGGCAAAAGGAGGGGAGACCGAGCCTCTCCTCACCCCACAGCTTGGTGCATTGATGCAGCGCGGGGGTGGGGGGGGGCAGGCTTTGTTGTCGGATTTAAATCCCCCGGGTCGGTCTAGACGCCCCCCTTCCTTGCAGCCCCCTTCTTGCGTTGCAGGGTAACTTATTTGATTTACACATTCAATGTATGCACCGTTGGAACAGTTGGCTGAATACTTGGCAGAATTGGCTATGCATTTGATCGATGGTTTTGGTGTGTTTTTTTTGGCGGTGGGTGGGGGGAAAGCATTGTCAACCCCCCCCCCCCAAAAATAACCCTCACCTCCTCCTTTGGCCTTCTTGGCCCCAGGATGAGGGTTTTCGCTCCTCCGGTGCCCATGTGAAGCATCGGGCTGTCTTCCGCAGAGCAGGTACTACAACATCCATCCTCCCCTGCCAGCTTGGCCCAGGGCTGCCCAGGGGGATGGATGTGTGTGTGTTGGGGGGGTGGGGTTAGCTTTAAGGAATACACAACGACTGAAATTTTGATCCAAAGGTAGATGAAACTGGTGGAGCAGTTTATATATAGGACGAGGGAGAAGGTTTTCTGACTTATTTTATTTATGTTCCTGTGTTTGATATGTTGATAAGTAACTCAAAGCGGCAAATTCCTCCCGAACAACAACCCTGTGAGGTGAGTTGGGCAGAGAGAGAGGGAGGGAGGGAATGAGAGGGAACAGGGAGCCAGGTGTGATGGGAGAAGCCTCTGCGTTAAGGTTTTGAGTAACGTCGGGATGGATCCAGAATGTGAGAATTATTTGTGGCCCTGGATCACGAGAACCGTTGGAGTCCAGGGCTGGGCTTCTTGGCAGTGGTCTCTGGAGCTTCCAAAAATGCAGGCGTTTATATTATATATTATAATATATCAGGTAAAGGTTCCCCTTGTGCTAGTCGTTTCCGACTCTAGGGAGCAATGCTTATCTCCGTTACAAAGCCGAAGAACCAGCGGTGCCCGAAGACATCGCCACGGTCATGTGGCCGGCATGATTAAATGCCAAAGGCGCATGGAACGTTGTTACCTTCCCACCAAAGGGGTCCCTATTTTTCTACTTGCATTTTTTAACGTGCTTTTGAACTGCCAGGTTGGCAGAAGCTGGGACAAGGAACGGGAGCTCACTCCGTTTCGTGGCACTAGGGATTCGAACCGCTGAACTGCCAACCTTTCCGATTGACAAGCTCAGCGTCTTAGCCACCGAGCTACCGTGTCCCCTATATTATGTCATATTGTATTTATATTATATTTATTTTATATTTCATTTCATTTCTTTATTGTATTTCGTTTTATTATATCATATTTATATTATATTTATTATATTTTATTTAATTTATTGTATTTCATTTCATTATTTTATTTCAATTGTATTTTATTTAATTTCATTCTATTTAATTTCATTTATTTTTTATTTATTTTCTATTTCATTTTATTACAGTATTTCATTATATTATTTCATTTATTTTTATTTTACTTATTTTTATTGTATTGTTATTTTTTTACTTTATCCCACGTATATGCTGCCCACCTCCCCATCAAACGACTCTGGGCACCATTTCCCTTGCAGCTTTTACCGTCCCCCTGTGGCTTTACTCCCAAGTTGGCCTGTGTTCCTGAGCTGTTCCCTTCATCTGGCAGCTCTGTGCATGCGCACACTGGGAACAGGCTCCAGCTGTTCTTCTTCCTCACTTATCTCCGACTCCAAAGGCAGCTGAGAACTGTCAGACGGCCCTGGCCCCACCTCTGCCTCCGACACAGAGCCCTTGTCAGAGCCTTCCCCAGACTCCAGGACTGGCCCATGTTCCTCCCCAACCTCCTCACTGTCTTGAGTCTGCTGCCAGCTCCGCGGGCAGCTGTTGGGCCACGACACCAACCCTTTTCCTAAGCCTGCCCCACGTTTATCCCAGACTTGGAACAGTTCTTCTACTCTGGAGGACAGTTGAGTAGTAGAGACACACCCATTAAGGGATCGTCATAGACAGGGCCTCTGCGGAGATGATTTCGTGGGACCAGTTTTGTGGAACGGAAGACGTTGCCTGGGGAAACGGGTGCCCCCAAATCTTTGAGGGGCCCTTTGCATTTCCCAAAATGACAAGAAAGCTGAAGGGGGCAGTCACGCGGGTGTCGTGTAGCCTGCTTCAACACGTAATAAGCAAGGAAGACAGCAGCAGGTGGCATCTACCTATGGAGAAGTTCTGCGTCAGGGTGGAAGAATTTTATTCACTTATAAGTTGATGTCCCTGGAGCTTCTCCTTTGGGACAACCATGACCTGAATGACTGAGAATCTCCATAGACTTTCTTGGTTGTTTTTCCTTGAAGAGGTTTCACTTCTCATCCCAGAAGCTTCTTCAGTTCTGGGTTAAGGTTGAACTGAAGAAGCTTCTGGGATGAGAAGCGAAACATTAAAAAAATAAAAACCCAAGAAGGTCCAGTTGCCTTTTGGAAAAGCACCTTTGGGACACTTAAACAGTCAAAGGGATACAGGAAGTCCTCGACTTACAACAGTTCCATTTAGTGACCGAAGTTCCAATGGCCCGGAAAAAAGGGACTTAAGGGCCTTTGTTTACACTTATGACCATTGCCGCATTCCCGGGGTCACGCGATCAAAATTCAACCAGCCTTGGCAACAAGACTCACATTCACAGTGTCACGGGATCCCCTTTTGCGACTTTCTGACAAGCAGAGCCAGTGGGGAAACCTGATTCACTTAACAACCGGGTTGCTGACTTAACAATTGCAACGATTCGCTTAAGCAACTGGGGCGGCAAGCCAGGTCGTAAAATGGGACAAAACTCATTGAGCAACCCTCCCACTTCGCTGTTTTCGGAGTGGTTGGGCGTCAGAGGGTGAGCAATAATAATAATATGTTATTTTGGGGGGGGAGGGGGTGTCACGCCTAGCGACCGGTCAATCTATCTTTCTGTTGGGGGAATATTAGTGCATTTTCCGGCTGGGGGGCTGGGGAGCGAATTCTTGGAGTGTGGACTCAACGTGCAAGAGGATTCTTTCCATC